ACATTTGTTATACAAAACACTTCTGTTTCTACTTTTGACCAAATATTACAAAAAAAAATGTATCACAGTTACCACAAAAATATTAGGCAGCACAACTGTTTTCAACATTTTTACTAAGAAGAAATGTTTTTGAGCTGCAAATCACCATATTAGAATGATTTCTGAAAGATCATGTGATGCTGAAGACTTGAGTAATGGCTGCTGAAAATTCAGCTTTGCCATCATAGATATAAATTGCATTTAAAGAAAAGATTAAAACATAAAAGTTATTTGAAATTGTAATATTTAGCAATTTTATTTTTGCTGTATTTATCTTACTGACCTCAAACTTTTGAGTAGTAGCCGATACCATTACATTTGATTTATTATTTTATTAATTTGAATTATTATTTGCTATTTGTTTTTGATGTCTAATGACCACTGTTTGAACATTTGAAAAATAAAAACGTTTAAACTTCCAAATTTTACTTTCAGGGTTGCAAAAATTTCACGTTCATATAAAATACTGTCCAGTCGTGATGTCTTCTCTGCTCTCTTTGACAGTGTGGGAGAATACACTGTGCAGAAAGGAACCCGAGTCATTATTAACCTGTGGTCTTTACATCATGATGAGAAGGAATGGAAGAATCCTGAGCTGTTTGACCCAGGTGAGAATCTGCAGTGATATCAAACATTCATGTAATCTGTGAAGATTTCCAAATACAATGAATCCTTTAATCCGACAGGGCGATTTCTGAACGAGGAGGGTGATGGTTTGTGCTGCCCTTCGGCCAGCTATCTACCCTTCGGCGCAGGGGTTCGAGTTTGTCTCGGCGAGGCCCTGGCAAAGATGGAACTCTTCCTCTTCCTGTCATGGATTTTGCAAAGGTTCACGCTAGAGATGCCCACTGGCCAGCCTCTGCCTGACCTTCAGGGCAAGTTTGGTGTGGTTCTTCAACCCAAGAAATTCAAAGTCATTGCTAAACTAAGAGCAGATTGGGAAACCTTCCCACTAATGCAGCACTGCTGAGTAAATGATGTGTGTCTTTTGTACTCTTGAGACATTTGTCATTTTTTATGAAGCCTGCTATCAAATTTCACAAATCAGACACGAATATAATTCATATCTTGAGACAGTGTGACTCCATGATCAACAGTAATTGAGCAGAGTGCAACAGTCAGGTTCTGGAGGTAAAAATCCCATTCATTTTCTCCATGGGGAATTGATTTTTAATTGAACTGTTAATCGATGGTATGTGCTTTTGTTGAAGTCATCAGTCCACATTATTTCAACTTATTTTTAATCATGGAATTCTTTATGACAAACTACATTACCCATAATTCTGCAAAGAAACGTCCACCAATCAGAAAATCAAAACAAGCAAAAAAAGAACACTTTAGCACCTGCCTGCTCCTATGAAGCAGTGAATGATGTCAATCTCTCTGCACTCTCAAATACTTAAATTTGTAAATATACATGCATATTTTACAATAAATGTAAATATGTATTGCTTCTATATATGCATAATCATCTTTAAATCAAGTTATTTTCCCACCATTTTTTAGTAATGTCAATTTATTCTTTCCTTCAATAAAACTATTAAGTACAAAGTCTTGTACCTTTGTCTTTTTGTCCAATTTTCATTTATTTTCTTTAGCAAAGACTTTTAAGAAATCCCTTTAGGAAAATGAATAAGAAAAAATACTTTGAAAACAAAGGTGGCTGAAAAAGGAAGACTGCCATTTTGGATGCGTAACTGAACCACTCACAGAAATCCATTGGCTTTCAAAACATTCTTTGATACTCTTTAATTTGGTTGAGACTTATAAAATGCGGAAAATACAGTTTCATATATAAAAAGAAAGTGACTACGGATACAAAACTAAAACGTAGTTCCAGGCTTGAATCAAAGCTTAAGAAAAAAAAAAGCAATTGGCTTGCAAAGCCTTCTTCACCTTCAAGCACACAAGCACACACACACACACACTGCTCAGTGTCAAAACAGTGCAATGACAACTTTTTTAGGCAAAACAAATGACATCTCATTCACAGTGAGCTACCCAACATAGTGACTCAGATTTCCACTTTTAATCAATACCTTTGGTCTCAAACATCACAGGACGATAGAAAACAATGGAGACTAGAGCTACAGAAAGATCGTCATGAGCACCATTGCTGCGACAAGATGACTTGACTTCATAGCTTCAAGCTTCACTTAATCAGTCAAATAATTTTGATGCTATGATGCTATAACTGGTCCAAATCATTCAGAATGCTCAATATTAGGTTTAGCCAAACGATACTGCTACACAAACATTTCCGAAGGCACCACGTCAATGTTGGAATTTACCTCCCAAACCGGTTTTTCCAGCTAACACACTAGGAACCTAATTTACCGGCCACATCACGTTTGAAAGAAAATTAGCCACCATTTACAAAGGAACACTCTGATCTGAAGATCAACAGGGCCGAAAAGCCATCTGTGCCCAAGCTACGACTCTGTTATAGGACGCCTATAACTGCTAATCTAAACCAAAGGTCAAAGAAACACAGTGGCCTGAAGAACGATCCACTTAAAGCATCCTACAATCACACACACACACACAGTCTGGTCAGCTATCCTTGTGGGGACTCTCCATAGGTGTAATGGTTTTTCTACTGTACAGACCGTATATTCTATTGCCCTACACCAACCCTACCCCTCACAGGAAACTTTCTGCATTTTTAGATTTTTAAAAAACTTCATTCTGTATGATTTATAAGCTTTTGTACCCGTGGGGACCACAATTTAGGTCCCCACCGTGACACGAGTCCCCATGAGTCTGTGTGTATTCAGGTTTAAGTCCCCACCAGGATATATAAACCTGTACACACACACACACACAGTGTTGGGAAGTGAAGTGTAGTGGAGCAGCTTTCAGTCTCACCGCCACAGAAAAACAAATCTCAGTCTCATCATGAACCCGACTTAAGTGCTACACTAACATGACAGTAACCTTACCTGATCTGCTACAATAAAACGCACATTAAAAGCTTAATAAGGCCTGTACATAAGTTACTGTTTGTGGTGCAGGAGTTCCCTTACAGTGTTAAAATACAAAAACAACTTAAAAGCACTATGGGAGAATACAGAAATTAAATTAAGGCAAAAAATAAACATTTCAATGATATGTTTCGATGGAAGGCTTATCAAGTGATCCTTTCAAACAAGACGTTGCCACTGAGCAAAATCTTCACTCATACTGGCCCTTATTTTATGCAGAAATTCTACGACACACACTCTTCTCTTTAAGGCATATGAAAACTACTTAAATCAACAAAGGCACCTAGTGTAAATGTACAAGCTGGGTTCAATCTATATACAAAGGTATTTTCAGCCTTCATTTGAAGAGTCTTTGCATAATGAACTTCAAAATGTCCTACTATATAGCATTTGAATATATTCAGTTTATGCGAATAATCATGCAAAATATTGGATAAAGCCTGAGACCATGTTATACAATGATGAGACAAAATAAACAAAATGGTAACCATACCCTGCTGGGTAGGGAGCACATTCACTTATTGATACAAAAAAATATATATTTGAGATAATTACTTTCCTTCATTTTTCTGAATAGCATCATGCAGATACTCCAGATCAAACATTTTCAGAAAAAAAAGACAAGAAATAAAAACAAGAAACAACAACTGAACATTAAAGCTCTGAAGTATTAACAGACTGCTCTGTGGCCGTCTTTTCCATTTTTTTCGTGCATAATCTTAAATTGATAATTCACCAAAAAATTAAAATTCTGTTACCACTCACCTTCATATCATTCCAAACGGGTTAAGACTTTTGATTTTCTTTGAAACAAAAATTAAGATACTTTTAATCAAACCTGCAAAATTTCTGTACCTCCTTTGAAATTCCACCTAAATACTGATGCTTCAAAAAGTTCATAAAAAGATCATAAATGTAATCCATATGGATCAAGTGGTTTAATCCAAGTCTTCTGAAGAGACATAATTGGTTTATAAAATTAACAGAATTAATTCAAGCTTTTATTCACATTTAAACACTGAACAAGAACATAGAACCAGAATTTCAACTGTACTTGCTTGATGCGTAACGAAACATCATTGGTTCTTGTGCATCATGTATGTTTCATCTTTTATTTACCATATTTGATGTGCTCTATGTATGTGCATATGGATTTATTTTACAATCTTGAACTTTTTAAAGCGTCCACTTTTAGTGGAATAGACTTTTTTTTTTTTAATGGATCTCTCAAATTTTTTATAAAAAATATCCTTATTTGTGTTTTAAAATTGAACAAAAAAAGTCTTGTGTATTTGGAATGCCATGAGAGTGACTAAATAAAGACAGATATTTCATTTTTGGGTGAACTGTCCCTTTAAGTATTTTAAAATGACATCAAAGATAAGAATTCAAGAGCAAAAGCCAGCACAAATCAATATCCCCTGACCTTGTGTGCCATCTTCATCTCAGTAGGAGGCAATAGCCCCCAAAAACCAACAAAAAGCCTCCAAATCTACAGGCATGTCACCCAGAGCTCGATAAGGCTATAAACTGAGGAGAATTTCCCCTGTGGTTTTGATCGTGACCTCTCTGTGAGGCAACAGACCCATTAACGTCTTTACTAGATTACCCTATTAATCCATAAAACCGTGAGGACTCACACATTAACGCCCTTTTAAAACTCCCTCTCTCTCTCTCTCTCTCTCTCACACACACACACACACACAGGTTTGTTTTTGTGAAAAGTGGGGACTCTCCATAGGCGTAATGGTTTTTCTACTGTACAAACTGTATATTCTATTGCCCTACACCAACCCTACACCTAAACCTACCCCTCACAGGAAACTTTGTGCTATTTCAGATTTTCAATACACTCCATTCTGTGTGATTTATATGCGTTTTGAAAAGTGGGGACATGGGGTAATGTCCTGAAAAGTCACCTTCTCCTTGTAATACCTATGTCATACCCTTGTCATTATACAAATTTATGTCCTCATTTGTCACAAAAACGCACACACACACACACACACACAAAAAGTACACCCAAAGTGACATTGCTGACAGTACAAACTGATGCATCTCAAGAAAGTAAAGGGAGACAGCAGTCTAAAGTAAGTCTCTGCTGGAACCGGTTGTGCTCAACTCTGGGGGTCCGTGTTGTTGGCGTGATGCGGACCGTCCTGTTCGTTGATGGTGTGCAGATGGAGGCAGACTGGAGGTCGCTGATGCTCTCTTTGCTCTAGAGGCACATCTGAGGCAGCCAGGTCCTGTTCCTCATCCCCCGAACCACGAGGAGGGCTGCCGCCGCCGCGGAGGTTGCAGCTATCACAGAAGTCCTGCTCCTCGAGCACCCCTCCATCCGTGTGCCCTACAAGCTCTTTCATCTCCTCCTCTCCATCCCCGGGCCCTTGGTTGCAAACGCATACCTCAATCCCAGAGTCGCCTGTGAAGCGCCGGTGGCGTCCTGGAGTCTTGTCTTCGCTGTCGGGAGAACGGTCTTCTACGGGTTCAGTCAGATCCTCGCCCGAGCTGCACTGTTTGATGGGGCTGTGTGAGGTAGCGCACGCTACCTGCTGGGGCTGCCCGTCCTCTCCTCGGCTGAGGTACTGTGCTTTGTGGGTGTTTCTGACAGGGCGGTGTGCAGTGGGAGTATGTGGCTGCTCTACACAGGGTCCCAGGGAACAGTTCTCAGATGCAGACAGGACGACGGGGCTGGACTGCAGTGGAGGGCAGAACTCATCTGGTTGTTCAGAGCACAGGGGGTCAATGCTGGTGGACTGGCCTGGCTGAGAGGCACTGTACGGAGGCGGGGGCGTCGGAGGTCTGTTCTCAACTTCCTCGTATGCCGGTAAGAGGTAGCCAGACAGGAACCCTGGAGAAGAGGACGAAGAAATGCATTTATTGACTGACCGTGACTAAAGCATGCATTTCTTCTAAGGGGCAATGAACAGATCAAGTAGTAGCTCTTCCAAGCTGTTAATAACTTGATTCAGATATTATTGTTAGCTATTTACAGACAGTTTTCACCGATCTGCATACTTACATTTTATCCAACTTGTACTGCTTTGTTGGGCATTCTATAATAACACATAAATGTACCCAATCTATCTCTGTTTACTATTCCACTTACATTATTGTATATTTTAAAATATATTTCATTGTACACTCTTAGAAAAAGGTTATAGAACCTTTTTATAAGAGTTTACATTGCACATAACTATAACCAGAGATGCAAACAGGTAAGGGGGAAAAAGGTGAGAACATTGCGCGGATTGGGGGCATGCTCCACATGGAATTTCTTTTAAAGATATTTGCTTTACATGCTCATTTGTAGTAACTTTAAGGTATTTTAAAAAATATTTTTATTACCTTATATGTCCAAAACTGTAATTTTTCACAAAATTAAAATTAACATTTTGTTGCAACATTATACAAAAATCAAGATTTAATATATTTGGTCAAAATCCTATGTTATAAAAGATGAAGTGCTATGCAGGCTATTTAAGACAATATTGGCTGATTAGACGGCAACGCCGACCAAAAATGCAAAATGTCTCTCTTCAACGTTCCCACATCTCAGACCTAAAATATATAAAATATTACCCTTTTTAGACACAGTTTCTGAAGTAAAGAGTAAAGTAAATACTATACAACCAGGGGCCAGTCGCATAAACTTAGCCACCATATTACTAGTTTGACCAACTAGCAGTTGCCAAGGGGTAATCAGTCTTACTTTTCCAATACAAATAAGACCAATCTACCTTTTCATAACTGAATTAAAAAGTTATGACCAGTCTTGAAGAAAAAAATAGATGGCTAACCTTTTAAGACTAGTCTAAACAAGTTTATGCAACCAGCCCCAGTTCTTTATTTACCCCTGTAAGATCACAAGTACCCTTGTAAGACCCCTCCCCCCTCATAAAAACACTTTCTCATTGGATCTAAACAAATCTCATAGGTGACCTATTTTGATCTCTAAAAAGTGAGAAAGGTGAAGAGTTTGCATCTATGTATAACCCCAATCATCCTATTTCTTCACCTGTACATTAGCGTCTGATCCAATCTGTGGCCAATACTAAATTGCACCTTGGGAGATAAATTCATATTGTATTGTATTGATTAGAGGTAGAATGACAGGGGAATGAATCGGGTACTGACTGAAATAGAAGGGTAGAGAGGTGTAATTATGGGCTTCTCTGTAAGCGATGAGGTTGATCTCATGCTGCCGCTGCTGTTGTTGCAGTCTGTGTTTGGCTCGACGGTGGTGGCACAAACAGCAGCAGCCCAGAATGATGATGAGAGTCAGGACCAACCAAAACCCTGATGAAAGAGCACACACATAACACAGTACTGTTAATGAGTGAAGAGAACATCGTGTCCGAACCAGGCACAACACACCATAAATCACAATTCTTCCATGTTAATCTGAGTCGTTGTCACCAGTGTTGTCTGACAAGAAGACGTTTTGTTAGTTGCTTGGTTTCTATTTTCATTGCGTCTTGTCTTAAAGCTATACCCTCAGTCAAATTTCATTAGTCTAACATTTTGATTGGATGCACACTGTGTACACGCTATTATTTAAAAGTTTGGAGTTGGTATGATTTTTTAAAATGTTTTTGGAAAAAGTCTCTTATGCTCATAATGACTGCATTTATTTGATCAAAAATACAGTAAAAAGAGCAATATAGTGACACAGTATTACAATTTACAATAACTTTCATATTTTAATACATTTTAAAGTGCAATATATTCCTGTGGTGGCAAAGCTGAATTTTCATCATCCCTTACTCCAGTCTTCACTGTCATATGATCCTTCAGAAATCATTCTCATATGCTGATTTGGTGTTCAAGAAACATAAATTTTTTATACATTGATGCATTTTTTTATACAGTGATACTTTTTTTTCAGGATTCTCTGAAGGATAGAAAGTAAAAACAAAAAAGGGTTTATTTGAAATAGAAATCTTTTGTAGCATTTTAAATTGTCACTTTTGATAAATTTTAAGCATCTGTGCTTAAAGTATTAATTTCTTCACAAAAACAAAACAAAAATCTATAAAATACTTTCATATTGGTACAGAAATGTCTTCTCCCAAAACAACCTAACAATCTGGCACCAGATCACAAGAGAAGAATGTGCTGGACATTAGGGTGTGACGCTCATCAGCTAACGGTAAGAGTCGTGTGGGTCAATGTCATGTGTGTGAAACTTTGCCCCAAATAAAGCAAAGACCTTTTCTGGCAGACATGGGGTCCACTTTTCCTAACAGAGAAATTTAAGGCAGCTGTTTACAGGGGCTGGTCTGATCCGGTTACACTGGATTTGTGTCTGTCCGGGTCGCATGTATTTGGCACGTTGTACAAAACCCAAAGTGCAGCCCCTTGACTCAGCAGACGATGTGCTGTAATTACCGTGGAGATGAGGTTAGTCCTCAGCTATTAAAATAGATGGTACACCAGAGGGAGAGGGGTAATTTGATAACACAGAAAAGGAACACCGCCTACGGGCGTGAACAGGGCAGAACAACAACTAGATCAGGGCCAGCCAATGACATAAAAGTTAGAAGCAACACACACATATCATACCCATAATTAAAACCTATGAAAGATGTTTAAAAAAAGGACAAAAAAAACATAATATCCGTTTGTACTGTGAGGTCACTTACATTTGTGCTTGAAATTATAGCAGATCTAGTTCCAGTAAGCTGCGTGATTGAACACCTAAATCCCATTACTATTTACGGAAACAAAACAATTACAGTGTCAAACATGAGCCATGACTTGGGATGTCTTTTCCCAAGGCATGCCGCCTCCTGTCCAACCCATAGCTGGCATCAGAAGCTTGGGCTGCTTACTGCAAACAACTTGAGAACAAAAGCAAGTGGCACGTTACACCCCTTAATGCTATTACAACTGTATTTAAATGCTGAATCATTTCAAAGTTGAATGTAATCTAATTTAAAAAAATCTAGACAGGCTGCCTTTTCTATCAGAGTTTACAGTGTCCTGGAATTGGGACGACTGTAATTTACACAACCAATATGCACTTGAAGTGACTACAAACATATCCAAAGCAACTGGAGGATGTTTCAGACACTATAGAGAACATATACACCGTGGACTGACCTCATCTTACAGCATGTGTAGGCAGCAAGGACTTAGATACTTACACCACACCTCGTAGTAATAGCTGCAACACTGAGATTCCCCACAGCAGTGGCCCGAATCACAGAAGTAGCTCTGGTTGTTCACTCCTACACAAAGCAGACGGGTCTGCAAAACCAAACAAATATAAGCATATTATCAGCACAGATCCCAGAACAGCTCTGTGCAGCAAAGGCTTTTTTATGGCGATAAACTAAAATGAAATTACATTTCAGTGCAATATATAGCCAAACTAATAAGTACAGTAATATATAAAGTAAATAAATCACTCCAACACAGTGATACTGTGATACATACAGGTGATAATAAACAGCACATTAATACAGTTGACAGGCAGATCGCTATGCAAATCTTTGAGTGAGCAGACTGTATTATACTTGCATATAGTTACATTTGCTAATTAAATTAATATATAATAATGCTGATTCCTCTGCTCTCGTTTTACCTGTCTAAACCCCAGGAGAAAAGGCATGATAGGCGTCTGATAAGAAAATCAACACAGCAGAGACACAGAGTTTTGTTACACAGGGCTGCAAAGACCAAGGGAGAGACAGAAGAGGAAGGTCGGGCCACCCACCGCCCACACATGGTACAGTGCGACATGAACTGCTCCCTTTATTAGCCGGAGGGGCTCGATTTAAACGCACACATACACAGCCTCCCACATGGCATTTCAGACTCAGCGAGGGCTGCCAGGGAATGCAAGTAAACAGGATGAACAGACAAGCGGTCTGTGCTTTTCTCACATACACGCAGACATCGATGACAACTGCTGGCCTGACAGTTGTCTCGAGTGGTGTGCTAGATACAAAGGATAGCCAAACTGAAATCTTGCCTGTTGAACAATAGTCTTAAATTGACAGAAAAATGCACTTACTTTTGACTCATTTGAGATGATGATCAGTGATAACAAGCAGTGGAAAGCAAAAGTTTGAGTGTTTAGTGCTGCAAACCTGTGCAGGGTTGGACGTAGTGCAAAAAAATTCATAGACAGAATGGCAACTGGCAGCAAACAGCGGAGTTAAATTTATTTAAATTAATTTACACATTCCTGATCTTAGAAATTGGAACATCCAGAAGACAAAAATACCATTCAAATACATATTTAGTGATAATTTATGAAGCATTTAAGACGAACCAACCAGGAGCTCCAATGTTGTTAAGTGATGTTATATTAGACACTGTTATCCAATTTACGTCTACTAAAGACATACATTATCAGTTAATGCATTTCCTGGGAATTGAATCCGTAACCACATCTGCCGTTTATAGAAAAGCATAATTTACCCCAAAATGAAATTTCTATTATCATTTATTCCCCCTCATGTCGTTACAAAGCTCTATGACTTTTTATTCTTCTGCTGAACATAGAACATTTTTTGCAAAATTTTGGCAACAAAACAGCTTTGGTGACAACTGACTTCCATTGTGTGGATAAAAAACATTGAGAAATTTCTCAAGATATCTTCGGTTGAATTTTACAGAAGAAATAAATGACATTTTCATTTTTTGGTGAACCACCCCGTTAAGTACACAATGTTTTGCCTTTGTCTGTTATCTCCTAATTAATAGTTCAATACCTTTTTTTGAAATGGAAAAGGATGATTGTTGTGCTCAAAGAAAAACAAAAAGGTTATATAATCTTTAATTAAAAAAATAAAATTAATTGTCTTTTAAAGTTGAATTTACGTTGGAAGTTGATATGTACACTACTGTTCAAAAGTTTGGGCTCAGTGAGGTTTTTTTTTTCTTTTTGAAAATAATATTCAGCATGGACACATTAAATTGATCAAAAGTGACAGGAAAAACCATTCAGAAAATGACAAAAGATTTCTATTTCAAATAAATGCAGTTCCTTTGAACTTTCCATTCATCAGTGAAGAATCCTGAAAAAAACAACAACATAAAAATCATACAGACTTCTCAACTTTTGAACAGAAGTGTGTCATTTAAAAAGGTTGTGATGTAGAGCTTCTCATTATCCGGTCCTAATTCTTCTCTCATCAAAAGTCCTGTTTGACTTCAGAAATGTGACTATTGAAGTAAAAGCTGTGAACGCCATTTCATAGGCACAAAGCATGTGGTTTTTGTAATGTTAGCAGATCGAAGACCAGCTTATCTTTTAGGCACCTACATTCCCTCAGAGATAACACCTGTGGAGAGCAAACAGCTCACTCCCTGCTTTTTTCATTCCCTGGCCTTGATCTACCACCTGTCACAACAGAGAGAAGAGCATCTTCTTCATACACGCCTATCACAGTCAAGGCCAGAATAAAAGCACACAGTCAAAACAGCCTTAGCCCGTCATCGTTGAAATCTTTTAAATATGTGCTTTTTCTAGACAGCCAACATTAAAGTGTCAATCACAGTCAACTGTACAATTCAAACTGTCATTAAACAATTAAGATTGCAGAATGAACACAACCTTAATACCAATAAAACCTTGCGCTGATTGAAATATCCTATTGTACATCCTTACTTCAGTGGCAGCAGTAATAATAGACGCTTTTTTTATTATTTACCCATCAGAAAGGATAACATTAGGGCCGAGACAAAGCTTTATGAATCATTCATTTGGCTGTGTATTTACATGGAATCTCAGCAAGACCGAAATGGAACAGACTTTCCTAGAATTGTATTCTGTTTACAGATTAACATTGCTGAACGTTTTTGAATTAGTCTAAAGAGGAACCTAAATGTAGGGAACCAGGGTGTTAATTGTTGACTTTAACAAAGACTTAAAAATTCATACAAGGATATTGAAACACTTTACTCAAAAGCAGCCAAAGTCACCACCGACCGACTACTGAAATACCTTTCTTTCTTTGGCAACCAGCAGTTTAATGTTAGGCAAATACAATATTGCAGTCAACATATCAGGTCCCACATTATTATTATTATTATTAGGTGTCTTTAACTACTTAGCTAAAAAAAAGGTTAAATATATCTTACTGTGTTTTCAGAACTTACTGTGTTCTTGCTGCAAAACACTTTGTGGCTATTGAGGTGGGATACAGGTAAGGTTAGGGACAGGTTTCATGTAAGTAAAATGTACGTTTCATATAAGTATAGTGTAAAAACACGTATGAAATGATTAATTTAAATGCTGGTCTATTGTAGGTAAAGTGGGTCGACTTTATCTAGATTTAATTTACAATTAAAAGTAATGATGCCTAATGACGTGACACTGTTATAGTCCATATATCATAGATCAGTGAATGTATATTCCTGTACATTTATTTACCTTAAAAGCCATATAATGAACATAGCTAAAACTGTTCAGATCAGCAATCTAGGTTGTCATCGGAGTTTACTAAAACTTTTTTTTTTAAAGCGGACGATAAAGTTTACTTGCGAACTTTGTAAAATATGTTTGTGGCATGTCAGACTTAAAAATCTAAGTAAGCTTTGTTGTCAGTGCTGTGAACACAAACATACAGTCTGTGCTTCAAAACCTAACGAACTGACTACGTAGACAACATTGAGTACTATGAGCACAACATTTAAATGCACCTAAGGTGCCTCAAAATGCTGTCTAAGTAGGCAACTCACTAGGTTTTGAGCCGAAGCCACAATCTACCGGCTAGGCTAATAATGCTAACAAGTTTTTACCTCGGTCAGCGCTGCCTCCACTGTCACCGAAACGATCGGTCCAATGACCACGTTACTTACAAACAACCCCATTCCCTGTTTTATATATCCTACCCCCCACATTCCCGTGGCTTTCGACACATCTGCGACACGGTAGGACATTCAGCTAGCCTGCGAGCTAGCTTCAGTTACGTCTCTTTCTTCTTTCTTTCAACTCTCTCACAAACTCCGAAAGTCTCCGCAAGCCCAGCCCCCTGCTGCTATTGGTCCGTTCAAGCGAACACTTCCTGGTTTGACAACTAAACGGAGCGACGATTGGATGATTTATCTGTCGTTTAAACACAACTAAAGCGACGGCAGGGCGTGACTTTGTTGTTCTTTACCAGCTGAGATCAAGAAATCAGCTGATATTGAATTTAAAGGGGCAAGAAATGACATATTTCCCATATGCAAAAAAGAAAGCAAGCAAAAGCAAGAAAAAAAGCGATAGATAGGCTAGATATAATCGCACGGGCGGACAGAGAGAGAGGGAGTATTAATATTATTAATTATGACAAGTACACTGACTAAAAATCTTTTCCTGCATGATACAATACAGTAATGCAAGTAGATAATATAAGTAGTTATGTAAGTAAATATAACTAACGTAATTTGCCATGATGCGAAATATTGCAAGTATCTGCCAAATACTGTACTTTCATTTTAATCACACACTTTTACAGCATTTAATGACATTCCTTATGTCACAAATCATATGTCCCATGTCTGTGTTTTAAAGTATTTAAAGAGTATTTAAATAGATACATATTTTAGAGTATTTAAACTGTGATATGATGGTGGCTTTAAATACTCAGTAATAACATAACCTAAGAAATACGGTGGATTGCGAAATGTTCTAATGTTTGGAATAAATAAATATAGAATATTAAGAATACCAGACAAGATATAGGTCTACTCGGACAATTTATCAATGAACTATTATTTGCTGGATTCAGTTACCAAGGTTCTTAGGTATCTCAAGCATCTAACGTATAAAGTCAACTGCTAAATAACTACTCTGATTATTCTTTGTTAAAAATAGTTAAAAATGGAACATTTATGAATGAACCTTTTTCACTATCGCTCCAACAGATGCCAGTCCACACACACAGGGGATCCATTTATAGTGCCTTTCAAAAAAAAATGCCCAGATGAAAGCATTTTATTAGACAGGCTGTAGTGAAAACATTGGATTCGGACAGGCCTTGATGGCTTCCTAACCGTGAAGGCAGCATAGCTCAGGATTCAGACACAGCCTGGGTGTACGCTGTCATCGAGAAAGTGACAACCACTGATCCCTAGAAAATCAGTGTAATCTCTCAAGTAAACTTTTTTGTTTTGTGGTAAATGTTATTTTGACAGCCATAGCTAAGGGCTCTTACTCGCTTTATTCCTGGGACATATCTTTCCGATTTGGGACCGCGGCTTCTTAGGTGAGACCCTTTGAACCGAGCCAAGTTAAAAGGAACAAAAGCAAACAAATCACATTGTTCTTTTAGGAATTTTTCTTGTTCACTGCCTTTCATTTCTCTTTTTTTTAGGCACTTCTCTCATTCAGAACAGTGAAGTCAATGGATCCTTACATCCCAGCTTGACAAGTTAGGAGGATACAAGCTAATCCCCTTAATCTGTCTATTCTCCCGTGCAGTGCCAAAGGGGGAGAGGTACCCAGCACAAGTAATCCTGTAGAAAAAACAATAGGATTAGACCCCAGCTCTTGGAGTGACAATCAGATATCTACTGACTGATTTGCAAAGTAGGGTCGAGTTTCTTCAAATGAGCTTTTTTTCCCTCCTCTAGGGAAAAGGTGCCTTTCATTAACTGCTGGTGGGATTCCTTTAGGACAGATGCTGGAGGTCCGCATGAAAGGCATGTATTCTTCGCTTCCAGCACACAGGTCCTGGACTTCTCCAACAGCAGAGGCTGAGAGGTGGGGACGCACCATTGGCCTGGGCGACCGCTCCACCCCTTTACCCTCTGTCAACCCTTTTATAATTCAAACTCTAATGCTTTTAAAAAGTGTTTGACAGATGGATCAGATTCCTTTGCTAACTGAGGATACATGTAGCAGATCAATGAGGATAAATGATGAGGGCAATGTGAGATATGCTGCCTGTTCTTTTCATTTGTATGCAGCCATGCAACATGTTTTTTTTTCTGTAACATTTAATGAGATGAATGTCTTTTGGACAGTTGCTACTCTTTGATACACTTTTACAGTGGATACATATAAACCTATAGAAAATCAATGTTTTACCAACAGATATATACTACCATCTCCACAGAAAAATGTATCTACATATATAATTTAATTAAAAAATAAATGAAATAATAATAACATATAACAATTTATAATATAAAAGGTGTGCGTGTGTATTTTATATATTAAAAATACACATTTGATTAAATGTTTATTATTCAAATATTATATCATTATTTAATAGTTCAGATGTCCATCCTTTCAAATACAAAATATATGTATCAGAGTTGTTATAAAATACAAGTAGCAAGGCAATATATACATTTTTGATCATTTTCATTTTTTGTTTATTTTCAAGACATACATTATACATATATATTTATGAGTGTGTGTGTGCATGCTTTTTTTTGCCAATACTATTTATACATTTGCTATTTATACTTTTCTGTAATGTTTTTATTATTTTATATACATTTACTTTCTATATATTTAATATATTTTCTTAATTTATTATTCAAATATTATTTGAATTGTTCAGATGCATTCTTTTCAGCAGTGAAAAATATTGCCTGTGCCTTCAGTGTGTCAGAATAAAATGCAATAGTTGTGTCTTCCTTGTGACCTTTAGATGGCACTATTGGTATAAAATTACCCCAGAATCCTCTGTGATGCGTATGTAGGTTGAAGCCTATTCCTGGGTGTGTGATTAGCCACTGTGACACTTGATATTTAACCACAAGCTAATGCAGCTTAGGAAAGGCATTGTCCTGTAGGAAACAAGGGTCGCCTGCACTGAAGGAAGTCCTTGATTCCATTTAAGTCCAGTGAACTTGGCCAAGCAAAACATAGTGTGACTCTTAAAATCTCACATTACTTTTCCAGTCCAGTCCGTAAATAATGAGAACAGTTGTGGATTATTGGGCAAGTGAAAAATGTGTGAAATTCACCTGAACCTACTACGTGGTTTTGAGGTGAAATAGTCATTCTCATATTAATAAAAGTCAAGACCATCCTGCGAAATGTGAACAGAGAGTGTGAAGATATGAAGTCCTTGATCATGTATCTCCAAAATATAAAACATGTTCAGAGTTGAATGACTAAAGACATGCTTTCACCCTCCTTCAAGTCTAAGGTAACATGACGGATACTGTTTCACCTGCTAAACACTTTGCTCTCACAGCCAAATAGCTTGGCTTCCCGCTATTCTTCCAACATCTGCCGGGAGAACCACGGTGTAATTAAGGCTTTAAAAAGGTATGCCAGAAAGCTCAGCAGATGCATCATTACAGTCTTCGGCCTGTCTTTTGAAAGCTAAATTTATGAAGCGGTCTTTGCTCAGGTCTCTATCAGTGGTTTGCACTCTTCACTCTGAACGCTGTTGAGATGCTAGAGCATGTGTCCAGCATGGGAATAGATGCTGTACAGACAAACAAAACAACCAGAGCTAGGAATTAAAACAAATTAGATCACAATGCTTTCAAAAATGTCATCAGCGGTTTCTCGTGAGTGCTACTTGCCATCCAGATGTTTCTTCCGAGATCAAAGCAGGAATGTGCTCTGATGGTGTAAATGTATTTGTTGTGTAATACTGGTAGATAATGTAAACCCTTGTGCAGGAAAGTAGACCTTTTGTCCTTAAATTGCCAGTATGATTTTACAGTGATTTGTGCAGGTGCAAAGCGTGTAAAGTGGGTTTAATCCCACGTCTTTGTAATCATTGCCTTTTTATATACCAGCATTTCCAAATCTGTGCTGCGTGCACAGGCAAGTGTAAAGATAAAGTGTAAATAATCATGTTACGCCAGACGTGACATTGGTTGCTCTGTGGACAATGTTTGTGTGTGTGTTCCTTTGTGTGCTGTAGGTTCCGAAAATGTAATCCTCAAATCCCTTTCCCATAAGGCGCCTCCAACCCCTCCTCACGTCCTCTGAAGGTCTTCATTACCTTTGTCAGAAACTCTGAGTTTGTGGCTCACCCACAGTTCCCCAAGGGCCTTTTGGTAATGACCTTGTGCTAGATATAAAAGGGAAGAAGAAGGGTGCAAGAAATAAAACTAGAATCAGACATAGTAAATATTGTATTATGGCAATTATGCTTTTACCGAAGCCACACTGTGTAAAATTCACTGCCTTCATTTTAGGAATATCCACAATGTCATCCTCAATATGAGTGAGTGCCCATTTCCTGCTGAGCTCCAAACCTATGGATTATTATTTATTAAACTGGCCAAGTCTTTGCGTCCCGGGAGGCCATATTTCCTGCATGATTGTACAATATCTGCATGGAGGTGTAGGCATTCCTTTTATCCTCAGTGACAAAATCAGCTAATGGATTGTCCCACATTGCATATGATCTAATTTATTCCGTGATTGACCATAAATCACATCAAGCCCAATATGAGCCATGGCTTTTACGAATTACACCGAGGAGCAACTGTGCTGTGCATTCTCTGGGCTGTTCAACGTTTCTTCTCAGTAGTTTCTAAACAAAGTATGGTTAGCATATGTTAGATTAAATATTCCTATGATGACGTTAGATGTTAGTGTTCCTTTAAAAGGATAGTTTGCCCAGAATTTAAAATTGTCATCATTTATTCATGTTCTTCATACAAGCTATGGCTTTAGAAGATTTGGAATATAGCACATGAGTGCATGAGTCACATGGACCACTTTTATGATTCTCTTATGGTGCTTTTTATATAATTTTTGAAGCTTGACAGCCCCAGTCCTCATTCATTACAATGAAAAAGTAGCCAGAATATTCTTAAATAACATAAGGGTGAATAAATTATGGCAAAAATCTTCATTATTGGGTGAACTATTCCACTAACTCCTATAATACAGATTTGTTTTTCTGCCAAAAATATTTTAAATAAATGCTATACTGTGTTATAAACAGCCTATAAACGGCCTAAGGAAATATATTTTTTATACTGAATTTTTTTTTTTTTTTGATGCCAAAAGATATTATAAAATGTAATTCAATGAGCAAGAAAATATATTTGCAATCTTAAAATATTCTATAAAATATAATCT